CTTCGCTGCAGCCCCAATATGTTCCATCTCGGAAACATGGAGGCATCCCGAACAAAAACTGTCGGCGCAATAGCCATCGCTTCCACAAGATTAATGTGGGCAACATCAATGTATGTTCCGAAAGTCAAATGGTATACCGCACTCTTGCGGTGTCCAGTGTATTGGTCAATTAATGGAAAATCACTGCTTTCGGACTTCTTCCATGTCGCGACACATGAATTCACACCTTCAAAAAGGATAGCCACACCCTTTTGAGAACTTCGCGGAGATTAAATCGAAATTCAAAGGAAAACCGCAACGGATTTAAAGTTTAACGGAATTGACTTCCTTATCTTCGTCTTCCCTTTATCATTGGATTCAGACAACCCTTGATTCATCAAACGCCTTTTGATCCCACAACTTGGAGGCTATTCATCGAAGGCTGAAACCTTTTACTAACGCTAGATCTTCTCGACCTTATGGGCATGCTTCAGACTCATCCAAACCCTGTTACAGATCCAACAAGTGTGTTGTGGATAAACGGGCCGTTGTATCGGACGGGTAGACTGAGTAGATTGCATTTCATCTTGTTTTTACTGACTCTCTGTTTTCAGGCAAAATGATTAAAAAAATGTGTCTAACTAATTGTCGGTTGATGAATGCACCTTGATATAATCACCCACAAGTGATGGGTAAGTGAAAGAGCGTGGGTAAGGGAAAGAGCATTTATCAGAGCATAATCTGGATTAATATGTGTCATTGATGCGACAAACGTCTATAAACCATCCTTTTTCCGAAACAAAAATCAAGAAATGCAGAAGGAGCACAAAAATTACGATTGTTGCTATACATTCAAAAAAAAGAGAAAGTAGTGATTCTCCCAAGTTCGAAACAAGAAGGAATGAATACGTAGAGTGTTGTTATCAAATAGTTTCCAATTTCCATCTTATTTTCACCCCGGCACTGTCGTTTGCATTGTTGAAATTCTTCTGCAGTTCGAGGTTTTTAGGTGGAACGCTCAATCAAATTAACGCCCTAACGTTCCGACTTTGTCGTTTTGCTAGAGGAATTGAACGCTGCTGAATATCATGAACAATCTCGAATTGCGTTTAGGTCTCTGAAGACGACGATTACACCAAAAAGTTACGAGTGTCGCACTTGGAAAGCTCGAACGGCGGAAGAATTTCAACAACGCAGAGAGCATTATTCCCATAGTTAATGCTGGAATGACGGTCGCTTCAAATGAGCCCAATAGACGGCAGAATAGGAGGTAGGTGCCTGCTAGCTTACGGTAAGGAACATGCAAGTTTTTTTTACCACGCTCCGTTAACGGCGATTTCCAGTCCCACCCCCTGTTCTACACCTGCTTAGGAAGTAGTAGGATCCCTCAAAACTTTTCTGCTAGGGCAATCTCAGAAGGGAAAAAGGCGGTGCTTTATCATCCCGGACGAGTTTGGTACCAATTACCCGACCCCAGGAGCAAGGAAAGTTGGTAAACAAATTTCTGCATATTATTCCCAAACGTGAATACCATGAGAGCAAGAAATTCCCGCGCGTATCTGGGGATGAAGCTGAATATATGCTGGCCAATAGGTGGCAATTAGTCGGTCATTCAAGAATTTCACTGGATGGGAGAGAATCTATGCGTGGAAGTTGAAATGTCGGTGGCAGAGAATGTAATGAGAGATGGTACAAAAAAAAGAGAAATGTCTGAGATGGAGTGAGCCGAAGTAAAGTTGTAATCGCAAAAAATCATTCAACTATTAACCACGAACTAAATTTTCCAGATGACTCTTTACTTTTCCCATGCCTCCCGCCCCTCTCCTCCACACCTCACGCCATCCCTCCCTAAGTCTCCTTACCTAGACAAGCTGGCACGAACTGGTGGGTTTGGTTGACAAGGATGAAAATCGATCTAAGGATTCGTGCAATTGACAAGAGATGTTTTTAATCCACGAACGACGATGTCGATGAAGACAGTGTTTACGAAGATAAGCGCGAGAAGGTGGAAAAAATGGGAGAACAATTGGCTTTCCCAAGCGGCGATGTTTTACGTCACGGATATACTGGAAAAAGGCTTCTTTGAACACACACACACAGGTGCCGGTTTTCATTTGAAAATCGGAGGTGATCACTGATTATTTGTCAACTCGTGAGGAACGATCTGTCCATTCTACGAGGCAAAATGGGAATGTTCGAGAGTCGTTTACCAAACATTGGAAGCCATTTGTTCCTACAGCCAAACAACAGATACATCGGCTTTCAATAGAACTGATGGCAGCTGAAAACCATGTGGAACCGAATCGTTCAACTGTCCACAGCGAGTTTTCATGTCGGACGTAATTAATCTGTGGTCACGATTTGCGCAACAATCAATCTGTTAGTAATCGAGGAAAGCCCGCAAAACATAACGCAGTGCATAGCCCCTGCAAACTATGGCAGCCCGGATCGTGGACCAGCAAATCTCACTTCAAAAGTTCCCATGCTTGACCCTGGAACGGTGGTGCGCTTGGGCAGAAATGTGGCCTAGCGCTCAATACATAGTAGGAGGCTACCAATAGCCAATACATTTTGCCCTCCATTACCAAAAATCTGGCATCCCCAGGTGACTGGAAATATTGTCCATATCCGGAGAAATTACACCAATTTCATAGCGCGTTGCATGACGTGATGGGTTCTCCGGTCCCCACCTAACAAGATACTGCTTTCATCCTCTCTCTCCCACCATCAAGAGATGCTCTATAGCCAACAATCACCTGGCCAGGAAGGTCGGCAATGTCCAATAGGGGAATCAGCTTTTTGGAGTGGACTTATTTTGAATGATCTCGGAATTATCCTGACCTTTCATTGGCCCAACTAACTCGCATTTCCACCTCCCACTTTGGGCATCACTATCGTGTCATCGTGGACTGTAGCCCTGAGCCAAAGTGAATTTCTTGAGTGAATTACAGCTTGAAATAGTGATAAAGCTGATTGTAAGAAAAATTTGCTGGCAGGAGCATGGTTAGTTTCTCAGAAATGAAGCACGTTAGCCTACTGTTCAGAGTCCTTTAAGAGAATGAATATAATAGGGAGGACGACCATTGAAGCAACAAACTGCTTCCTGTCGAGTTGCTACCGGTTTTGCATCGGAATGGTTCATAGAGTGCAGCGTGACTCTCTTGACGACTATGACAGAAAGCCTTCCGACTACGCCCTTCCGCCCTACAATAATTGAAGAAGAAATGAAAGGGGAAGAAAGGAATGCTCAGCAATTGATAGTTGCTTGAAAAACACAAAAAAACGAGGTAGTTTTTCTTATCACAACCGGTTGTACAAATCAAATGCAATCGTGAATGACATGAAAAACTGGATCATGATGATGGTCTATTCGCGCACTTAGGGAAAATGCTTATCAAGGCGTGTCAGATCCGAAGACGACGGCTAATCATCATACCTACCGCAAAAGCCATTTAACGACTACGATGCAATGGGATCGTAATGTGGGAACGAAATTGAACCCAAGTTATTGCCTGTCATTTTCGGCTAGTTCCGCCATCAACGGTTCAACTTCAACTATATTTCGATCGACGATTCAGTTTTTGTTACAATCTGATAAAGAAGAATAGATAACCCTGTAATGTGGTCCACCACGTCCTCCCATGAAATATAGGACGGATTACCCACATGGAAGAAAGCCAGACGCTTCGAGAGACGATCTGAGGCGTTATCGTTGCAAAAAATTACTTAGAAAGGAGCCATGGAGACTCAAAGTCTGTGTATATGAGACATCGATACAATGCGTAAGTGTACGTATGCAGGTGTATGGGTGTGTGTGCCAGTTCTGGAGAGCTACTTAGGAGCCTTAACTGAAGGTGTTGTCTGGGGATGAAATCCCAGACTGGTGCTCTAACTGATCACGCCTTTCATCACGTGGTCAGCTTGTCCACATCAGATTCATCTATGGAAATCAGCTGATTAGCGCGTCTGTCAGATACCCAATTCAAGCCGCATGAAAAAAAAACCCATCCAACTATCACCCATATCCCGAGTGGATGATGGGGTACATGG